CACAACAGCGTGAGCCTCATGCAATTATTTCGGCAAGGATGAGAGCATCAAGGTTAACTAAATAAACGACAGTAGATTTTTCTTTAAAAGAAACGCATGATGACCGAAAGAAGCAAAAACATCACTTTCGCTGCGAATGAAGTTAAAAGCATTTATACCTAAGTTTTCCATCAAATACAAATATCTTGAAACTCACAGAGTTTTGTATTAACTGCTTCTACTTTCATATGAATGTTTACGACAGTGAAAGGAATATTAAGAAAGAATTGAAATGAAAGTTTTGGGCGTTCAGAAAATCTTTGCTAAATCAAAGGCATATTTGAGCACTCTGGCTGCTATGTGACCTATAGTTATGGTAATATATATCTATAGAATGAGTGCAAAAAACTCGAGGAAAGAAAGGAGGCGCATAGCACTAATAAAAAATGACATCGCGCATGCGCGTCACAATGTCCGATGCGGTGCAAAACTTCTGACGTGCATGCGCGTCGGCCTGTCGTCAAAGTGTTAAGAAAGAGAAATGGGTGTAAAAATAGTATTCGCTTAGGCAGTTCAGGAAGTGTGTAATAGAGAAAGCCGGAAATGTCCTACAACAAGCGCTTGCAAAACCTTAATGCTTGTTTCGCTTGGTTGAGGGAGTTTTTGAATGGAACCAGTGCGAAAGGGTGTTCACAAAAATCAAAAGTATATTGGAAAAGGGTCGCAAGAAAAACTGCGTGAGAGCAAGGAAGAAGGGCAGGAGAGAATTGCATAATTAAAAAACAAATAATAATTAAATTAATAATAATAAATAAATAAATAAATCGAGAAATAACGAGGATCCTTTGGAGCATTTAACTTTCAGTGAAAGGAGTTAGTTTGAGGAAGAAAAGAGAACCTGTGAGAAACGTAACATTGTCCTTGGAACTCACTTTCGCCATCCCAAGAGCCTTCTGCGATTGATGTCGGTTTGCTATAAAAGGTCCAAGAAGCGGTTTTCGCAGCGAAGGCAAACGCTATCTGAAGCATTCATTCTGTCGTGGTAATGTGAATACAGGTGCAACTCATTATGAAGCGAAAAAACACATGCACGACCAATAGAGACACTCTCGGAAATCTTGGTACAAAAACAAAATATTACTTGCCTTTCTACTCAGAAATTACACACGTTTCGGAAATGTATGGCATTTACAATAGAAATGTCTAATCGCTGAAGCTAGCTGCTGTGGTTCATTAGAAGGTCATGAAATCAGAGCCTAAGTTTGTATTTAGAAGCAGTTCAGAATGGGATCGTCCCGCTACTAGCCGTCAAACATTCAAGGATCTGAACAGTCAAGCGCTATACATTTAAAGACCTATATAGTCAAATAGTCAAAAACTGAGTACAAGCCAAGTTAAGCAGAGGAATGAGAAAAGTGGAAAGGGATGACCAAACATCTATCAATCGGTCTGGTTCGAGCTTGTGCAGACGTTACCAAGAGATAACGCTGCTATGACGCGAGCTGACTTCACGCTTTTCAAGCAGCATGTGTTCCGAAAAACATCCCTATGAAGGTTCAATAACCATACCAGGCTGATAAACAGTTCACGTTCGTGAAATGCGTCTATAAGCACTAAACCGGCTCTCGAGTATGTAACATGAGAAAGACCAGGTTTGAGGGAATGGCCATAACGGCAGCTGATGTTCAATACTCACAAAATAACCGTTGTGAACTGGTTGCGCTCACACTTGAACAGAAGGGGCGTGACGCTTAACGGACGACAAAGAACAAAAATGAACGAAGAGGAAACTTTAGCGGTGACGTCAGATGCTACTGGGGAATAAGTGCCCGTGAATGCCAACATGGCCCGGAAACGTGCAAAATTTCACTAATCATTGTTAACTCATACAGCTCTACACATTTCAAAAGGAACGCAAATGGCTCGCAAAGGGCGCAAAGTCGAATATCGAATGGGCCCAGAACTTTCATAAAAACCTCGTTCAAGACCAAATGTTTTGAAAATACTCGTTTTCAACCACAGCAGCTCGCCTTAGGAAAAAACGAAGGCAAATGCCTGGATCCGAACAATTTCTCTGCTAGGAGCCACATTTTCGACTGCTATAGCTAAGCGATGTGGTATTTGAAGGCGTTATTATCCTATGTAGTTGCTACCGCGAATTGATGCAAAAGAACAAATCCAAAAGCTGAAAACCAGTGAGAATACTGAATGATGATGCCGTTCACAATATCCGTGAATGTGAATCATTTCCTTGGATCGTTAGTTTCTTCAACCAAATAATTGAGACGGTAGCTCTAGTGGCTTATGAAACACCTCTTACGAAAGAATGCCTCAACGACACTCAAGCAACCTTATTGCCTTCGACAATCACACATTAGTCTTCAGAAGTAATCCACGGGTCGGAATCGAGTTGGGCTATTTTTGAGCCTGAAAGTGTGTACAGAGATGCGAAATGGAACCTCAGAGGAGAAAAATGGGAAGCCGGAAATAATTCTCTATCTCCAACAGCAGCAAAGGAAACTGACTTCAGAGGAAGCCATGTCCAAACGAGTTCCCAGACTTGCCAGCCATGGTTGGCTTCGTCACAGCAGCTGATAGGGCAATCAATCTAGCTGACACGCCCAAAGCTGGGCATGCACCACCTCTCGCAGTGGGGGGGGGGTGTACTTAGTTCGAAAGTTACTGTAGCGTAAATAGCGGATTGCCGTAGCGCATGAAAGGTCACTTCGCACCTCCCCAAACTTGCCTGTGGGATGACCACACCTGAATTGCTCACCACTACTACATTTCTGGACAGCTCCAAAACATACAAAACGAAGCAAGTGGAACGATACTTGAGTGATCTACTGTTTTGAGTCAATAAATTTGAGCATTAAATGAAACTTTATTAACCCTTGGCGACAACGGCACCAAATGTTGGGTGCCACTTCAAAGTTTTGTTCTTAGCACTTTTGAAACATTTTCATCATGTCTGTATTCATTAGCAGGCTTCATAATGTCTATGTTTAGCAGTTTCACAGAAATGTTCAAGAAGAGCTAACTTATGGGAAGTTTAGAAAGTGGCGTTTGACCCGCCTGCATGTTAACAGAGTTTTCATCATTGGGCGGAACCCAAATTACTAATAAAAACTTCTTC